CCAGGCAGGGAGTGCCAGAGCTAGCCCCGCCAATGTGCGCCTTTCTCGGCCTCTTGTGATTGCCGTCACGCTGTACCCCTGCTGTTTGTCCCCTTCACTTGTTGCCTCTGCTTGACCCATGGGCAGGGACATCTCCTACCAGCCCCAGTGGCTTCAAGCCCCATCCTGGTCTGGAGCACTCTCAGGGATGGAGCAGTCACAGCTGCTCTGGGAGTCCTGTCCCAGCTTCCCCCCACCCTCACAGCAAACATGGTTGAGCGAGAGACCCCCACACCTCCTCCAGGACCTGCTTTGTCCTGCTCTCTGTCATGAATTCACCTCTCTGACTTGCACAGCCCTGTGGAGCTGGCACAGGTGTCTCCAGCCTGTCTGCCAGGCTGGGAGCACTCACAGCAGCTCTTTGTGTCTGCAGGGGATGGAGAGAGAGAGCCTTACTACCACCTGAGACACCGTGGCACCAGGCAGAGCCCTGAGCAGGCACTGGGACTGGCACGTGCGGCTGATGAGGGACCCCAAGGCAGGGAGGCGGTACAGGAGGGAGGGCAGAGCAGGCTGTGGGCAGGCTCTGCAGTGCTGCTCCTTGCACAGGTTCTCTGGTTCGAGCAGCAGACAGTGAGGAGGCACAGGAAGAGAGGTGCCAGCGTGGTGCCCACTGACCCCTGGTTCCACAAGTAGTGGTACATGGTGAGATGGTGCTGCTTTCTCCTCTGAGCCTCACCCAAGTCACACAGTGGGTCAGGCTGCAAAGTACTACAGTGACCTTGGTGGAGCAAGTCCAGAGGAGGAGGGGACCACCTTCCCTACAGAGAAAGCTGGGGTTGTTCAGCCTGGAGAAGATTGTGTGGAGACCTCATAGCAACCTTCCATGGTCTGAAGGGGCTCCAGGGAAGCTGTAGGGGGACTAGAGGGACTCTTGGTTAAGAACTGGAGGGATAGGACAAGGAGTAATGGGGATAAATTGAAAGAGGGAAATTTAGATTAGACATTAGGAAGAAGATTTTTAAGTTGTCTCTTCCCAAGGCTGAACAGCCCCAGCTCCCTCAGCCTGTCCTCAAGAGACATGCTCCAGTCCTTTCAACACTTCTGTAGCTACCACTGGACCTGCTCCGGGAGCTCCATGTCCCTCTTGTCCTGAGCACAGGACAAGACACTCTGGTCTTGACCTGAACACAGCATTCCAGATGTGCCTCACCAGGGCTGAGCAGAGGGGCAGGATCACCTCCCTGACCTGCTGCCAAAGCCCTGCCCAATGCCCCTCTGACCAAGGCTGATGCTGGCAGTGATGAGGCAGCAGAAGCCCCTGAAGGTAACCCCAAGCCTCTGCCCAAGAGCTGAGCAAATTTAATCTGTTCTCCAGAACAATGACATCAATCCTGACCTGAACATCCTCCTGGCTTGGAGCAGAGGCTACACAGGGCTGGGGGTTGTGCTGACCATCCTGGATGATGGGCTGGAGAAGGACCACCCTGACCTGGCTGCCAACTACGTAACTACAAGGGAGTGCAGGAACAGCCTCCTTTGGGGGAAGCTGGGACCTGGTGCCTTCCTTCTGCCTGTGCAGTGGGAGCTCAGCCTCTCCAGGGCTGGATCAAAGCTTTGGAGACTCCCACAGGGAATTCATACATAGAGGAAATGTTAGGACTTGTGCACACTCTTAATCCCCAAAATAGGTGTAATTACAGCAAGCTGCAAAGCCAGTAAAGCTGGTAAAGCCTCACGGGCCAGGAGAGGTAAGGAGAGGTAAATCCTGAGTGTGTGTAACAGCACCATTTCTGCAGGTTGGAGCTCCTCTCTTCTGGCTGAGTGGCCAGCGAGGGTCACCCTTGGGTAGGATCATAGAATCAGTAAGGTTGTAAGAGACCTTTAAGATCATTAAGTCCAACCATTAACCCTAAACCATTTCTTCCAGCACCAGGTCCAGACACCTTTTAAGCACTTCCAGGGATGGTGACTCCACCACCTCCCTGGGCAACCTGGGTCACTCACTGGAACACCCAAGTTGTGCTGCGTTCACCCTGTTTCACAGAGTCCCAGAATCATTGAGGTTGGAAAAGACCTCCAAGACCATTGAATCCAACCTGTGACTCGTCACCACCTTGTCAACTAGACCAGAGCACTGAGTGCCATGTCCAGTCATTCCTTGAACACCTCCAGGGATGGTGACTGCAGCACCTCC